CACAAGACCTCACATGTTTCCCACAAATCTACTACAAGCTACGTACGTAGATCAAAGGCATTTTGAAAAACTTAAAACCAGTGCGTTTACTTGCTACAGTGATTTGGAAAAGCTAGCCCCTGAAACAGAAGACAAGCTGGAAAAGAAGAAACTTGGCCCACCACCAAAATACAAGGTGGACTTGTTTGGTGTCGATTCTCAGGTATGGTGTTCTGAATACTGCTGTGGCTGATTTCCCTGTCTAGTTTTTATTTGAACCCAGTTGATGGTAATTGTAGGTAATGCAGGATGCATTCTGCAACTCCCTGGGCCAAAAATAAACATTTAGATACATAAACAAGCAATGTGGCTTTAAGGTTAGAAAAAAATGACTAGGTATCAGCATCTGTTTCATGGGAACCACTCTGTTAACTTGTTTTCATGCTGAAAGTTCAAGTCACTTTTGTTTCATTTGATATTTCGTTATGAAATGTGTTTGCTCAAGAGACATAAAAATGATTTTTTTCTTGTTATGTTCACATGCAAGGATCAGTGTTTAAAGACAGAAGCAGTGTTTTGGTTCCTAGTTAATTACTAGTCAGTTGTTCACATGCTAATGTACATAGATGTCACATCACATGACCAGTTTATATACTGGCCATTTTTTTTATAATTGCAATATTTGTTGACATTAATATCGATCTATTTTCCCTCATCTGACGATGATCCTGTTTGATTGCGACACAACGTAAAAATCCTTCACAGGCCATGAAAGTATGTATCAACTCAAATCGTTTGACGCCATAGCCTCACCATGCGCTAATATGCAAAGTGCACCCATCTTTCCTATTCCTCCCACCACAAATTCCAAGCTCCGCCCCTTGCCATGCACGTCATTTCTGAGTATGCACATTATCAACTTCCCAGCAACATCTTGAGCGCAATTCACTTAAATGGCAACAAATTTTATATTTGAAATTGTGAGACAATTCTATGTGTTTGCTTTATCGTTAATATGATGTTACTTTTGTTATTGTGATGTGTGTTTGAATGTCTATGTTGCAGTTTCCACTTTGTTTGTTTTGTTTTTTGGTATCTGTTATTTCCATTTATTGTTTTCATGTTCAGTGTCCTGTTTGTATGACTAGTTTTGTTGTTTGTGTCAGTATTGTCTTTGTGGGTGGTGTTGGGGATGGTGTATATGGTGGTGGGGATTTAGCTTGCAGAGGTGCCACTAAAAGGTGACAGTGGTGAGATCACCAAAGCTGCTGATGAATTATGGGTATGGTTGCACTGCACCACACACCAATAATGCCAATAATGTCTGAATCACAAATTTTTAACGGTAAGTTTTGCTTTGCCACACTCCCGTCTCTTCAGCCATAAAACCAGCCTCTCGCACATGCACATCCTGCATAGCAACTAACAAAAAATAGCTTGTTGTCCATGACTGCCACAGTAATAGCGAGATGGGTTTTTTAAACATTGCAACACCTCTGCTCTGATCTGTGGATTCTCTCTTGAGTTTGAGTAACCCTCCCACCAGGCGAGCGAGCCGCTCACTCAGTTACAGCATTAATGAAGACAGCATGTTGTCAATAAAACATGATTAATGCCTGGTCAGCAATGCCGTCCGGATGAGATGCTTAATGCATGAGTTTGAGTAATCTCCAAAGTTTGGGTAATCTCCAGAACTTGAGTAATCTCCAGAAGTTGAGTAATCTCCAGAGTTTGAAACTTTGGGTGATCTCCAGATCACAAGTCACCACAAGTCAGTCACAAGTCTTTCAGTCCACAATTTCATTCGTAGGAATTTGGGCTGCCTGTTTACAAATTGCCAAACCTTTACGTAGCACAAGAAGGGAACAAATGTCTCAGCATTATTTGCCTGAACATACATGTACATGTACTAGATTTTTGCGAAAGCCTGCGTGTCTGTCACCAATAGTAATCAAAAATGGGCCTATCAAAATATAAGCAACAGCCAAGGAAACAATTTCAAGTCCTTGCATGTAATTAGACTTAGCATTGTTTTATTCCCATAGGATATCAAAGATGCAAATTCGGAATTTTTGATGCCCAGCTGGGGCCACCGTTACCGTCGCATTTTGCATCTTGGAGATTTCCACCATGTATGCCTTTCACACATTTTCAAACATGCATTGTAGATGCAAATGTCAAATTATGCAGTTCATTCTCCATGGTAGAGTTATGTATGCTTCTTGCTAACCATACATCATGTTGCTGTCAGGTAGAGCTTGCCTCATTTTTTAATTACTGTAAATAGTCTTGGAGTGCAAATTAGATTTTTCAGGATCAAAGTGAGAAGTTAGGTCATTTTGTTCATCCAGTGTCCTAAAATGCATTTGTGTCAGACATTCTTGCCATTTAGTCTGTACAAATTCAGTGTTTTTCCACTTTCTGAAAGTTGCCTTGATGATAGACACGTATATAAAGATGTGAAATTTTTTCTCTTTATGAGAAGTTGAAATTCTCGGAAAGGTGGCTTTATGCTGTATTGCGGGAATGCAGGATGCATACTTTTGTGGCAGTTTGTGATCTCTTCGCACTTTTCTGCAGCACAGCAGCAACTTTTCATTTTCAATAATTCTTGGAAATTCCAAAGCTGGAAATCGTTGTGTGATTTGACTCTGGTTTGCTCGATGTGGTCTGAAACAGGACTTGCTGGATATGGAGATGAGGATGAGACGGAAAGGTCCGGGGAGCCATGTGTCTGACACGGAGTCCGCCCCACCTGACATTCCAGAACACCTGCTCAGGGTATGTGTGCCGTTACCTGCAAACTGCATGGTCTTAGTTCTTGATTGAAGATATCTGAAGTATTTCCCGTTGTTCAAAACTTGAACATTCTTGAATGTAGAGTTATCATAAATTGGTTACTTGAAAAAAATTCCAGTTAGTCCGAACAGTCTTCAGATCTTGCAGTCAGTGAAATTTAAGTCTGAATCAACTTGCTGTGGCCTAGAGTAACACAGGTAAATATGCAAAATGGCTGAAGCTGCTAGCCATAGGCATGCATACTGTTGCTAGCCGTAGTTATACATTTTGGACTTGGCCTCTGCATGAACAATGAGGATGCAGGGAGGTCAGCATGATCAGAAATGATGTCAGAACCACTGATTGTGTTGCCTGTCCAACACATTTTGTAGCTGAAATTAAATTTCCTGTTCAGAACTATGCCTTCCATCTACATGAAGAAATTGACCAATTCATATTTCTGTGTGCTGCTGTTAATCATTGGTCACTGCCATTTTGTTTAAAGAGTGTCACACTTATTAACAGGATTGTGATGAAGTGAACATTAACCTTTTTGCTTCCTCAGAGGAGGCAGCCTTGGCAACAGGGTCGGCTAGCCCTGTCCCGCCGTGCTTGCCGGTTCGAGCTGCCCATGGATGTCCACCTGTTGGAAAACATGAGCCCCACCGAGTACCTGCAAAAGTACTGCATTGTCAGCAAGAGGCGACAGGCCATGTATCGCCGGGCGTTCAGCAAGGTCGACCGGAGCAACAGCATGAAGATTAACAAGAAGGTAAGAGTGTATCTGAAGCACCGGGCTACGGCTGGAGATAGCACAGGGGCCTGCGGTGGCTTTCATACATGTAGACACTTCCGTTATTTCAAGCCGTAGTCATCTATTGAGACACAACCCAAGTACCCACCCCTAGGTACAGTATTACATGTACTTGTCTGCTTTTGACTGCTTGGTACTCAATTCTCCCCAGATTATTGTGGCTGAGGAGTCGGGGAAGAAATAACTGAAAAATAGATCCATTCAGTAGAAAACCCAGACAGTTTTTTTTGACAGTGCATACTCTTGAGATAACCAGCATCTATTTATAATTTATCATGGGGCTTTCAACAGTTCATGATATTGACAAAATCCTTTGACTGGTGAGACTGTCCACCAACCCTTTTATTCCCCAGCAATGTATGTGAATGTTCTCTTTGAAAACAGACCATTGTAGCCTAGAATTGACCAAAGTTGCATCGTAACACTCAGTTTAGGTGTAGTAAGGGTCCGCAAACAAAAGTTGGCCCTTGGCAGCCGATCATCCGCTAGCCTTGCAAGCTTATTTGCATTGTCTAACAATGGGCTCTGTTATGCTAATTCTAGGTCCGCTGAGTCAGTGGACTAGTGAACACGTGAGGCTCGCGGACTAACCGCTGCTCAGATCTCTTTATGGTCAATATGTTGGATGAGCTTGGTTCACAAAAACCACCGGCATTTTTAGCCTCGGCAGTTCATGCCGCTGTCTCTTTTTGGACAAGAACCCTAAGGACAACTTTAATAAAATGATGTTTGTGATTTGTTTATGCTTGTAAGGATCACAAATACACTAGAACCATCGGAATGTAGACAAGGAGAGTGAATCACAGAAACTGCTGCAACCTTGTTCCCAATGCCGGTGCAAAAGTTGCTGTGGAATTTGTGTGCATTCAAACAAAATTAGTCACATGCTTCATGTGACTAATTTGAGGTTCGTGAAGAACCTCACAGCATACATGTGTAAACCAGTGTGTGCATGTGTTGTGTTCTGTTGAATACCATTGCTCCCCTATGCCTGCATAGAAGAGCATGTAGATTTTGTGCACATTGAAACAAAATTGGTCACAGCTTTACAACTATTTATGCGGAGCAGCGCAATGTGTTACATGTGTATATTCTGACTGAGGGCTGTCCTCCACATACATTTGTGCCCTCAGCCTGTGAAAAAGTTCACCTTTATGGGAGACAGTGCCTTGTCCCCTTAGGCACCGGTATCTAAATGTATGTAGTTAAGTACATTGGCTTTTTTGGCGACTTTCCTTGCTCAGAACCTATGTAGTCATTGTCCCCAGGAAATGCAACTTTGCTAAAAAGGAGAGCTAAAAAATTTGATTTGGCTTGACATCCATGTAAGGTTGGGGGGATTTTTTGTCAATCACACTGCCAGCCATCCACCTACTGAACACACCTCCACTATCAACTCCCATTCTCTGGTGGGTGGACATTTTCAGTGCGTGTAATCCCATTTTCTAACAAAAGGGTACGGTCTTTGTAAAGGCTTGCACAGCTCAGCTCTTCAAAGGGAGTTTAAATGCCAAAATGCTCTATCCATTTCAATGTCCATGTTATGCATGGTTAGCCATGTTTACATGTACATGTTTGTTTCCTTCTGGAAACAATTTAGGACTCGACTAGTTGGTATTTGGTAAGCGTGTTGAGCACATGTCAATTTGGAGAGCGTACTTTTCAGCATGTAAACCAGTGCAGGAAAGTATATTTACAGATGAGTCACAAAAGAGACATTTAATGAGAGTTTCTTAACAAAATATTCCTGATGATCAGGTTTTGAATCTCCTCAGAGCTTTTGTGAAGAATTAGTACAATTTATAGATATTTCCACAGGAAATTTACATTTTACAATGGACCCTTTATATTATGGTGTTTTTGCTATTCAGTGCATACATGTATTACTGTTACATCTTTTGAAAGAAAAAGGAAAAGTTTTGCTTGATTTTCTTTTTAGGTGGATTATCTAGAAAAAGAACTTGACTATTTACTACCTACAGTTGAAAATTGAAAACAAAACACTTCCGCTGACAGGATCAATTAACAAACAAAAACAAATTTGTTAACCGATCACAGTAACCTTACAACCGATGTTACCTCATAATCATATAAAAGATACTTGTTTCAATTTGAAATACTTTCCGATATTGGCCTGGGTAAAACATTACCAGTACATGGTTTGTTTTTTATAGTTTGTACAAAGAAAGGTTTCGCTTTCAGAACAACGTTAGTTTCTGTCAATAATTGTTCTCCAGATACAATTACAAGGATATATTCTTGCAGTTGATATGTTTCTAGTAATCAAATTTAGCCACAGTAACCATGGCAAGTGAAAGGCTGAAGTAGCTAAATGCTATGGTACAGCAACCGATTGGGAAACACTTTGAAAAGAGGTTGTCTTTGATGCCCCCACTTTTGAAGGAAATGTTTGCCTCGGTGCCCTTCCAACTTGCCTTGGTGCCGTGAAATATGAGCTCACGCCCAAAGCAACACTTGCTGCATACCCTGAAAAAACTAAAATTCAATCCCTTTGCTGCTAACGTTTTCTACATACATGTGTAAGCTGTTGGAACCTTGTGTGTTCAGTGGTTACACTATAACATTGAACCACCAACTAGATTCACCAAATTTAAAATACAAGAAAATGTTTCATCCTTTAATGAATTTTAACAATAACAACCTTGACAATTAATCAAAGGATATGGCCAGTAGTTCTTTGAGATCTCAAAAAAAATATGCGCGCAGAAGAAAAAACTCTTCAACCGGTTTAGCTACAGTTCCGACTCTGAAAACAGTCAGTGTCCAAACACTAGGGAGGCTTGAGAATCCACACTTCAGTTCAAATAATGCAGAATTCCTCGTCAACTCAGGTGGTGCTGCTGGTGCACAAGTCCCACTTCGAGGATCCCTGCAATCTGCTTGGTGGTTCCTCGTCTGAATTCAGGTACAGCAATGTAGATCTGGTCCACACTAATTGAACTGCACAGCCTGGCCTGTGATTCCTGCTGACCACAGTTCAGGTCTGAGGGCAGAGGTCAATGGCCTATCTGGAGTGGCCTCCCACTCATATCGGCTACAATTCGACTTGACTGCCACCGGCCAGTGATTTGATGTCTTGTGGGAACTCCACACTACACCATAATATTGTTCTACACCAATGATGTAGGTCAACAACCCTTGCAATCACAATCTGAGGGTGTAAACTGAGAGCCGCAGGCTTAATCGGATCAAGAATAACCAGCTTTATATTGGCAAAGCTTTGGCGTAACAAGATGAAATCACACAAAGAACATGGCATCAAGCAAGTGAGTGACTGAATAGGCACGCAGTCCCACTCATCACAAGAGAGCGCTACACCATTTTGCAGCGGGCTACACATGTAGCATTGCCTTTGTTGGCAATTTGATTTTGCAGATACGTATCACTGTTAAAAATAGAACAAGTTTTCAGCTGTACACAGAATATATTTACATGTATATTATACAGAGTGTTTATAGGTTTAACCAGGGGTCTAAAAACAAAACCAAAGAATCCCGCTTAAATCAAGTTGTCCAGGATTACAAAAAAAATCTCTTGGCTAAACCAAAGCTGGTGAATCAAGTTTTTCAGACTTTCCGTAGCACTGTGTCATGAGGCTATTGTGACTGATGCTAGACCAGGGCAGACTGTTTGATCCACAGTCTTTTTTCTTCAGCTTGTGGCATGTTGAAGTGGCCAGATGAGAGTGTACAGGAAACCAGTCGCGCAGTGACAGCAATGAGCACACACTATGAAAATGTTCAGTGACACAACAGTCCTTTATTGGTAGCATCTGGAACAAACTCAACATTTCTCAGGATGAGAGGCACTCGCCAGGTCTTGCGGAATCTGTTTAGTGGGTCATTTTGCGCACCGGTATAGTAGCTTTCTGTGTGCTTTCTGCCTGGTTTGGGAATTTTTGTGAAATATTTTGTGATTATTTATTTGTGCGTGAACTGCTCAGTCAGCCGCAGGTTGGACAATCCGCTCAAAAATGTGGACAGATCGTCCTGTTGCTACGACCAGCTCACCTGCAGGAGTGATTGTGATGCCCTGGGGTGAGCTGCGGCTCTTGATAATAGCTATGTTGGATCTGGCGGCCGGTTTGACAGTATGCTGTATGAAGGAGTTGAGGACTGGCCTTTGAACTGCGACATAGTAGCCGCCCTCACCATCACAGCAGATCCCTGTGGGTCCCCTGACCATCCTGTCCATGCTTTGCACTGCGGTCACTGCACCCCCTCTGTAGTTTGTGGCGAGTACCTTCCTCTTGTGGGTGTTGGTATAGATGAGCTGCTGCTCCCCCATGGATCTATCAATGGTGCATTCACGGTTCTGACCAGTCTGCCATCTTGAGTGTGCAGTGTAATCTGCTCCTTGTCTCTGTAGCCAACAGCTATCAGGTTTTTGTCATCTACGGCCAGGCACGTGGGCTTGCCCCCTGTTTCTTCCCCCGGTGTGAACTGATGGACAAGCTGGTAGTCTTTGCTAAAGGTCTTGACTGTGGGACCGTCCAGCACAACCAACTGGTCTACTGTGTTCACCGCGACATGGCTGGGATTGGTCAGACTTCTTATTCGCAGCCGCTGTGTGAGGAGAGAGACGTCAGGATTGCGTCTAGTGGAATACATCAGCAGACACTTGTGTGCCATGTCTGCAATGAGTATGTCATTGTTAGAAAAGGCTGCAACTTGGGATGCTTCTTTGAACTCCACAGGTCCCGATCCAAAATGGGTGACTTGTCTCTTCAGTGACCATTTTTCCTTGGTGTGCCTAGTCTTGTCCTCAACGTCTTCCTCATCTGCTTTGTTTTCAAGCACCAGTTCTCCTAGTTTTTCGCCTTCAACTTCTTCAAAGTCCATAAATAGCAAAGCCTCGTACCCAGTGGCTGCCTGCTTCTTTATCAGCGTGTTGAGGTTTTAAAGGAGCTTGGATCTGGTGTCTAGGATTGAGTGGCAACTGGCATGTTCCAGGAATCGGTCGACCTGTTGGAGCTTGTGCTTGGCGCAGGCCATCTCCCTCTGATTGCTCATTTGAGCAGCGTGGAATGTGTTTCCCCTGTCCTCATGGATCCTGTCCACCTCTTGCTTCAGTCTTTCCTCCTCAATCCTGATCTTGTCAATCATCCCCTGGGCTTTCTGAGAGATCTTCTGCTTGATGTTGCCAACTGTGACATCCAGGTTCTTGCGCGCATGGTTGACAGTGACGGAGACGTTGCCGAATGTCCTCATATTCTCTTTGGCTTTTGCAGAAAGTCGTTTGATGTCCTCTTTGCATTTGTCAGCAGCCCTTCGGAGGTCAAAGAGAGAGTGCTGCGTATGCTCCAAAACAGAACAGGCTGCACACGCCAATTTCTGGCAAGATTCGCAGAAGATGTTCAGATTCTCATCTGGGTGCTGTCTGCATTTGGGAACGTCATTTCTTAGTTTACGTTCATAGATGACCTCTCCTGATTGAAGCTGACCCAGTGGGTGAATGATGTGGGCTCTTAGCAGTGATAAGCGGTGGTGTGCCTGTTCGCACTCCATGCAGAGAAAATGGTCACAGTTCGTGCACCAAGAAACTGCCGGACCCTTTTCCTCACAGGATTGACATTTGATTTTCATCTTCTGACCCCCCAGTAGTTGCTCTTGCATCAGGAACTCTTCCACCAGGGCACACATTGTGAGGTCGTCTGCCAGCTCTTCGACTCCCTGGGGGATTGCAGTCGCCCCACTGCAGATGGGACACTTAAACGTTGGGCCGCGACGATCCTGAGTGCAAGCGAGCTCTTGAAGGCAGTTCTTGCAGAAACTGTGCAGGCAGTCAAGTATCTTGGGCTCCTTGAAATAGTCAGAGCAGAAGGAGCACAGCAGTTGAGACTTTGCCATCTTATCTTTGCCGGATGCCATCTTTATGACTTAATGATGCTCACAGTTCTTCCATCAAAGACTGACCTGCAAACATGTGTGACATTCCCTCGTAAAAATTCTCAATGGCAAGGATATAATTTTGTTACAGGCCTTTTTCCCCCCATGTTGCTAGTCAACGATGGTTGGACTAGCCTTGTCAACTATTCACCACCAGCCTACCGAGGTTGCCATAGAGGTCATTGGTTGCCATAGACCATTTTTAACAGCGCAGTGCAGAGAGGACCAGTTTAAAGAAAATGCCGGAAACACAGTATGTCACTTGAAAATGACCATTTTCACTGTAATTTTTGCTGTTTTGCCCTTCCTGCGGCCACTTTTTCTCCCCTTCGGCCTAATGACCTGACAATGGTTGACTAGAGTCATTCGCATTTCAACATCACTGCACATGCACTGGGTACATGTACGTCACAAATCAACCACTAGTTAACTAGCGGTCCTTGATTGAACTTAACCTATGCAAAAGTGTTAACTGTTCCCACTGAAATGTGCTCAATGCACAGACTGCCTGAAAGTGTAAGCCATTAAAATGACCAATACAGCAAGTCCCTTCAATTGGCTTATATTAAAGCTCCACTGTACTACTGTTGAAATCTTTTGTGGCCACTGAGCTGATTTACACGAGTGATTGCTACTCTACGCCCACACAGCATTGCCGCATATTCACATGTTCAGAGCTCCGGCTGGCAAATTTTAGATAATAGCCAAGTTTCAGTTAAATGTCACCTTTTTGCTGCCACTGATACCTCATTTTTGCATTGTTGAATGCAATTTTTCTTCCTCCCCAAGTGCTTAGAAATCAGGATTATAGCTAACCATGTAAATACATTCATAGGTAGATTTTTTTTCTAAACTCACTCAAAATGTGCAGCTCCAAGGCTAGATTATTAAAGTGGAGTTTACAATGCTGATTCAAAAATACACCTTCACATAAAGTAAAAAAAGGAAACATAAAACATGTGGCCAGAAAACAAGATGCCATAAGATGATCATTGAAAGAAAAAGTGAACAGTAAAAACACCAAATGCCGCACATGAAGAACTAGTCTTCAGCATGAGAGTTAGAAAGGACATTGAGCTGTTACTCTGTTTGTTCACCTTGGAAAAGAGAGTTACCAGAGTAGCAGAGATTGTATTGGGTCTTAGAGGAGGATGTTCCTCAATTTGCTAGATCAAAGAATATTTTGTCCAACTTGGATGGGGAGCAGATTGGGTCTATCTTTTAGGATAGAAATTTTCAGTCTATAGCACGTACAGATGAGAAGTGTCACTGCTCAGATGTGTTGAGAGAATTAATCTGATCTATGAGGGCTTTTTGGAGTCAGGAACCCATTAATACTGATGCCTACACTGGCAGGACCTAAATAACTGTTCTTTAGGATGCACCTGTGTTGGTTAATGCTAAAATAGTCAGAAGGTTCAATAGTGTGGAGGATTTATAGTACAAAGGTTAAATAGTCCAAAATTTCAGTAGTCTGAACGTTCATTATTCCAAGAAAAAAGGCCAAATAATCTGAAGATTTAATCATCCAAATCAATAACGTTTATTTATCTGAACTGACAAGAGGTTTCAGTTGTCAAAAAATAAATTATAACAGATCTGAGAAAAGTCCAAGCCAAGTCTTGATCTAGAAGCTTGGGTGCTATTTTTTAGATTAATGAACTGTCAGACTATCAAGCCATGTGTTGATTTCAGAGTGTTTAACTTTTAGACTAATAAACCTTATTCTAAATTCACACAAAAGACCATCACACACGACTTAATTTTTCTGCAGTCTTAGACACAGTACATACTGTACCTGTTACGTTTCGGTCTCACAAAGGTAAATCTGGCTGGTCCTCGTGTGAGCTTTGCTTCATATATCTTGTCCCAGCCTATGCATCAAATGTTAGCTGAATCAGGTACTTTAATAAGGATATACATGGAGTTGGCTCAGTACATTCTATTATGACTCTTACCTGTAGCCCCCACTTTCCATACTTTCTATACAAACATCAATCTATCAATCTCTTTTAGGTGACCCCATATTTTTTCCATTTTACACTCGAGAAACAGAATGCACATACCTGAACAATTTCTTCAGACGTTTGCTGTTAAACTGTGCCATTTGCCTGAATCCGTAAAGGAAGTTGTCCAGAGAATGATTGAGACTGTTCACGGCTTGGCACACCTCAAATTACTTGAACCAGAACTTCAACTTGCTTGTCTGTTTCCGGGATTCATTTGTAAAGCACAGTGCCTTGCATGCCTGTACTTCACCTGGGTCTGATATTTTCCACTCTTGTTTATACACCTACAGTATAGTTTGCTGTAAGCCAAGCATGAATTGTTTTGACATAGGGTTAGTTTTAAAGTTTGGAAATTCCAGGGGATAGTTTTCAGGAAATTCCCAGTGGTCTTGCAGTTTTGGAATTTTTCTTAATCTTATAAAAAGGTCAAAAGTCACCTTTTTTTCCAAAAGATTACCAACTATTGCATTGAAGCTGTGACCCAAAGAGCTTTTTTTTTCATAGGGTACCAGGGACCTTAATTTGCTTGAAGTATATAAATGCTGTTTTACCATACCCTGGAAAAAAATTATGTAGAAATGATGTAATTTCTATGGACAGAATTCCAGGGTAAACACACCGCCTGTATGAGATCATATCACATGCTGATAAATCTGGAACTGTGTATGCAGGAATGCGGAATTGTTTCTAGCACGTATTTTCCAAGAGCAAGTCTGGAACCAAAGGTTGTGGTTGTAGTTGGGCCTCAAGATTGGAAATCCCTTTTTGTGGCCTCCTGTGCTCTTTCTGAGTGTTGAAGTTAATTTTTTTGTTATTGAAACACTTTTGCAAGGCAAGGAAAGAAAATTGTCTCTGTCTCATTTTTGTTTCAAAAACAGAAACATTTTGAGGGAGGGAGGGGAGGCTCCTTGGCCCCCCATATCCACAAGGAGTATTTGCCATTACTGCCAGTAGAATGTTGATAACACTTGTTTTGCCTTTCATGTCTCTGGTAAATGCCCCATTCCAAACTTATCACCATCCCCTGCCGGTTCTTCAAGTGAAGAAACCTTGGAGGTGGTACCTGCTTTCAGTTAGCAAAATGTTAGCAATCATCAGCCTGTCTAAAAAAATCCACCAAGAGCACATGTGTAAGTCTGTGCATAGTCTTTCAATGCACATTTATTTATCCACACATTATTCATGCTTTCAAGAGAATTATTAATATTGTAAATGCATGGAAATTGCTGGTGTTTGTGTGCATTGTGTGCATCTGGTAGACATCTGTTACCGCAGATTAAATTTATCAGGGACTCTGAATTACAGTAATATTTGCTCTTTAATTCTCTTGCGTGAGACACCTTCTGATCTACTGAATTTTACATGTCACACATAGAGCACACTAATCCCCCCAAGTTTGCCTAGACTGAGCCTGGCTGCTTTATGTATAAGAATTTGAACAGAATCTTATAAGAAATTTGGCAGTGTGTTATGGACATCTCGGTAGAATGTGTTGATTATGTCATAGAGCTTGTGCCTCGTAAAACCTTGGCACAATCATTCGCACATGTACATTGTACATTCCGGTACTGGCCCAGTTTGTGTAGAGACATTGTCAAAAACATGTAAAATAGGAAAGAGGTCATAAAGACATCACATTTGTTTGAGAAAATTCTTAACAGTAAAGGTTAATGCAATTATCAACTGGTACTAAGTAGACATACCTTGTCAGTTATGTAACAAAAGGTAATTATTGAACTTATTAAGATTCAAATTATGCATTCTTTACACCATATTAAGAAGATTTTTGGCTTGAAACTTAAGCTTTGAAACATTCTGTCATCCCATGAATGGATTGCCTTCTTAGCAAAATATGAATCATCTGTTTTTAACATTTAATCGAGTAAAAAATGTAAAAGTCTGATAATCTTAATGTGAAAAACATTGCATTTTGATTATAAGGTAGTTATCTGGAATTGAGCCTCTTTCACTTCAGTGACAAGTAACTCATGCCGAGAAAAAGAAATTCAGCTAGAAAACTTGAAAAAGTGTTCTATGGTTCATGTACAGTTTGTTAATGCCACATGTTGGCAAGAAATTCTTCCAGTAAAAGACTAAAATCTCTTTGTAATCCACTTTAATGTAAAACTTCAGAAATCCACCATAACAAACAT